GGCCATTCTTAGTACCATGCGATAGTCGTCCATCGGAACCACTATCAAGTCGATGGTCCCTTCCCATTCTTCAATCTTCATGGGTATTCCATGAGAAACTTCGAGGATCGGATTAGATGGAGAGTTGACAACCTTCAACCGACCTAACTCCTTTGTATAATGAATACCCAACTTTCTAGCTTCTTCCTCTGCGATGAAACTATGTGTTGCTCCGGAATCTACTAGCGCCTTAGTGCTCCTTGCATTCACTTTGGCTTCAACGAACATGAGACTCCCTCCTTTATTTTCTTCCCTCTTAGATGATTTTATCCCATCTTTCGATATTGAGTTCAGAAAACGCATTGAGCTTATTTGTGCTTCGTCTTCTTCTTCTTGCAATACCACGCATAAAATGTGTTTTTCTTCGGGCAGTCTCGGATCAAGTGAGGACCATCACACAAGTAGCACTTGATCTCCTTCCGTTCTTCTCTTCGGTATCTTCCTTCGATTACTTTTCCTTTCGTATTTAAAGGTTGGGGTGTGTCTTTTTTTGGTTCCGGTTCTGACATAGTTTGTTCTCCCCCACCATTCTTCTTAACCGTGCTTTCTCTTTGAAATTCCATTAGATCTTCAGCCACGACGATAGCTTCGTCGATGTCTCTAACATTTCTCCTCTTGAGCTCATTATAAGACCAGGATTGTAGTTCATCCATGAAATAAAATAGTTTGTCTTTCTCTTGCATGTCGGGTAGCTCTAGCATCAAGCTCATGAACTCGCCTATGTAGTCTCGGATGGATCCACTATGCTTTAGCCCACGAAGTTTCTTCATCGCTATGTCTTCAGCATTGTGTGGGCACAATTGTCTCTTAAGTTGCCTCTTGAACTCTTCCCAGGTGTCTATGGTGTATAAGCCCTTTTCAATGTGTCAATGCTTCCTTCTCGACCATAGAGCTTCACTTTCACATAGGTAAAGGACTGCCGTATCAACCTTCGTCTTGTCTTCCTTTACTTGACTAGCATTGAAGTAACATTCCATCGACCAAAAGAATTCGTCAAGTTATTTAGGGTCGCGTTTTCCTCCATACTTCAATGGTTTGGGTGCGTCCGTGTGTGCCAACTTACTCGCAACGGCTCCTCTGGCGATTGTTGCCTTACACAAGTTTACTTCAACTTCAAGCGTAGCTACCTTCTCACGGAACTCATTCCGCAAGGTGTTGATAACTCCAAGGACTTCTTCCTTGATGACACCGATGGTCTCCTTCAATCCATCGCTCGTGTCACTTATCTCTGCAACGAACTGATCAACGATATCCTTCCACTCAAGGATCTCACCGATGCTAATCTCCACCTTCGTAAGCTTGTTTTCTAAGCTTGCCAAAGGGTCAACAGATTGGTCCCTTCTCCTGGACTTCCTTCCTTTCTCTTCGACGACAGGGGGAATGTTAGCTACATCACTTCCTCCTTCCATTGCTACGATCTCTTGCTCGTACGAACTCTGGCTCTGATACCACTTGTCACGGGATGACTCTTTTAGACTAGTCAAAACAGTGTGCCACTTAGCGCTTCTCCGACTAAGTCGAGCTAACTTCGACGATCTAGATGTACTAACGAACTTAGGAAGCAAGAGTTATGACAAGGGATACTTCAAGAAAGCTTCTATTATATAACTCAACTTCTTTAAAAGGAAACTTCTCGATGGGTTGGGCAAATGAGCCCTACACCCTATTTATAGGAACCTTACACCTCCTCAAATGGAAGTTTCTAGGTCCCGATCATTCTTGACTAATCTAGACTCTTCCTATTATATACATGGATTTTACAAGACTCTAGAATATGGTATACTTGTCTACGATGTTCTAGAAATCTCTAGGTCGTCCCGACATTATCCAAATCATTCTTGTATGATCTAGCGTGTTCTAGATCGTTCCAAAGTCTTCCGGGTCGTTCTAGCTTTGTCTAGTGCCTTCTTGATTATTCCGGATCGTTCTCCTTTGTTCCACATACATCTATAATATTCTACTATCTTGCAGGGTCCCGTAGAGCATTCTTGATCTCTCCGGAGACTTCTCGAGTATACTTGATTATTCCAGAGTTCTCTAGACGATCGTGGAATTTTCCAGAAACTTGGCCTGTGACAGTGCGTAGTTGTAATACCCTAAGCCATCTCGAATTGCTAGATGGAAAGTAGACTCTTGTTGTACTACTTCAAAATAAGATACTAGGAGGTGGAGCACAGACATGGAATCATCAATCACTTGCGTCGGAGTCGTAAAATCCTTAATCGCTAGTGCTGATAATGACCGGTAGAAAAATGACATATATATTTGATGGTGTACTCCGTGTTTTCTTAGTATGACTCTAATTTTATGACATGTAAAATGTATGTCGTAAACCTTTAAAAATTAAGAAAATATGACTTTTTTTATGACACACATGTCTGTATGTCATAAACTTAGTGTGTACGTGTGTGTGTCTCGTAATCCGCATGTCATCAAAAACCTATTTTGCAGTATTGATCTAGACAAGTTGTGTTGGGACTGGAGCTACACCCACTACTAAAAATAAGAACTTTAATAAAATACTTTGTGTGCTATTAAAGGGTATTGATGCCACAAAAAAACTGTCATTGAAACCATAATCATAAATGAAAGATGGCATACATTTGTTTGTCATAAATAAACAACATATATTTACAACCGATGTTTTTTAATAGAGGTAGCAAGTACAAAATTAATTGAGTTGGTTGGCTTGTAAACTTAGTTCTAGCCATAATCCCAGTTCTAATAAATCAACGTTCCAAAAAAACAATGAATTAATCTTGGTGTTGCATGTAGACGCCTTTAAAAAACATTTATTTATATTTCTTGAGAGCAACAAATATATAATATAATGATTCCTTTCACATAACGAGGTAGTTTATGTTTTATTTTAGCCGGGTCATTCCACGGGGAAGGGTCGCAAAGAATCTTTATGGACAGGGGGGAACACAAGTACGAAACTAAAGGGGGACGAATGAAAACTTCAAAACAAACATAAAGAAAATTCTTATTGGATCAATTATCATTAACTCGAACATACTGAGGCTGTTAGGTGTGCACAACGCCTATAGGCGTTTTTAGGAGAAAAAAAGGAAACAACATTTTTAGGATGTTGAGTTGGTAACGAGAAGCAACGAACAGATCTATAATGCACAAAAACAGTAAAGAGGGCGGTGTTTGTGCCCGCATAACGCACAAAAAAGCCCCGGTGGGTGTTACCCACACCTAGCAGTCTTGGGGATGTTTTCATCCGAAACAATTTACAATGGCTTAGCAAGACTTATATGTCTTTTAAGTAATCTCCTCAACGGTAGATTGTTTTCATGTTAATATGTATAACATAATAAAATAACAAATAACTAATAGATTTCATTGAACAACTAATCGCTAACAAAATAAAAAGACGTTAAAATAATCATACAACAAATTATCGATTAATTGTTTTGTAGCCTTTTAGAATTGCAACTTTAGATTCATCTTAAATAATTAAAAATTAAAATGTGTTTGGCAAATAATGATTAAAAACCATATATAAACAAAATAAAAGTAATTAAAAAAAATAAGAATTAATAAAATAAGGCAATTAATCGTAGTTTTTTTTCCAGTGAAGTCACAAGCAAAATGTAGGTAATTTTTGACATTTCATCTCAACACTACTTTGTAGAAGAGAGAGAGAGAGAGAGATTACTCTCTTTGACGATTGCATATATATCGCGTTGGTTTTAGAAACAAATTAAAAGATGGATTATTTCAAGTCCTTCGCACCGGTCAAAGAAAAAGCTAACAAAACCTTTTTTCTTCCTTATTTTCTCTGCGTCAAACGAAAGCAAAAGAAAAAAATAGAGATGGCGAAGAGGACCGTGGTGAATTGCCGCACGGTGGTATGTCGGTATCTTTTTAGGGTTTTTGTAATTTTTGTTGAAGATTAAGTTATTATGTTTCAAAATTGATATCTAGATTGGTTTTTTTCTATATATATATATATATATATATATATATATATATATATAGGTTTAGATTGATTTGAGACCATTCTAATTTTGTGATACCGTGAGACCAAATCTAAAAATAATTTTAAAATGCAAAATAAATGGAAAAATCTAAAAATTCTTTTTTTAAATATTATTTTCGGAACTTGAATTAACTAAAAACAATAAAAAATAAATAAATAAAAATAAAAAAAAATCCCATTTTTTTTGAAAAATACGTGAAATATTCTAATAGAATATTACACTGTACATATTCTAAAAAATAATTTTAAAATGAAAAATAAATGGAAAAATCCAAAAATTCTTTTTTTAAATATTATTTTCGGAACTTGAATTAACTAAAAAAAAAATGCGTCTTACGGTCTCACAAAATTAGGCCGTTTCACATGAACCTAACCCTATATATATATATATATATATATATATATATATATATATATATATATATAGATATATATATATCTATATATATATATATATATATATAAAGTTAATTAGTTTTTACGGACTCTATGTATTTCAATTTTTCGAGAGATTAAAGTGGATACTATATTAGCGTTAAAAAGCCAAAAAACCGGAGGGGCCATGACCCTTCTGGCCACAATAGAGTTCCGCCACTGCAGATGGATGACTTTTAATTATATAACTTTTAATCCAAACTAAGATTTAATAAAATCCCTTAAATATATGTATATTTTTCCCAAAAATACTCAATTTAGTTCTCGTTATGTCGCATTGTTGGATTTCATGCACCTTTCAGTTCATTTAAAATTTCCTTTTCATAATTTACAAGATGTATAAACCTAATTAATTAAAATAAGAAACTTGCGGTGCAAATAGCAAACTTCAACTATAAATAACTAGTTCACATGATGTTACTAGATCATATGATCGATTAATGCAAGTTAAGGTTTCAGACTTCAGAGTTTCTGCTTCAAGAAATCGGGATTTTTAAAAGCTTTTGTTCATCAAGAAGAAATTGAGAATCATATTATGGCTACATCTATGCGTTCATACGGGGTGATAGAGGCAGATTCTCGGTGCTTGTTCATGATCAACGCACAACCAGGTGAGCGTCTGCATCTCGATCAACTAATCGGCATTAACATCTCTCCAATTCAAGCACTAATGATCCAAGAGGGTGATGAAGACTTGTGGTGCTTGTTGACTGATGATGGACCTGTTTATTCAACTTTCTGGATGGAAGTGACAACGAATCGTGGATCCATTGCCAGTGGTAGATTCGTGGATGGATCACAAGAGTTCAATGATGAAGAGACTATGGAGATCGCAAAGATTGTAGTTGAGTATGACAAGTACTCGAGGTATCTTAAAAGGATTTCTGAACTTCCAGTCGCGATTACAGGAAAGAATAAAGAGGATGGATCAGAAGAAGGAGAAGGAGAGATTTGTGCAGTTTGTCAAAGAAGAATATGAAGTGGGTCAAACGGTCGGAACAGTCAAACGCGGACATGTGTATCATGAAAAATGCATCAAGAAACGGTTGGTGCAGAAAAACTTGTGTCCAATCTGCAGGTCGACAGCTCTTTCATGAAATTAATTAAGGTTAACTTTCGGTCAAGATTGGAGGAAAAAGTAAAAAAGAAGGAGACAACTATGTATGTGGTTTGTGAAGAAGAATACCAAGATGAGACGTTAGGAACAATCAAATGCGGACATGTGTATTGAATCAAGCAAGAAGATGGCTGGCAAATCCTCCATGTGTATAGGTATGTGGAAAATTTGGGTTTGGTGACCTTTTTTCGAGTGTGAGTTCACAAAACCGGGTGTGTCCAGGTGTTTCTCCTGTTCGTGTATTTTTTTTTTGGATATTATAATTAGTGCTTGTTATTTATATTTCAGGGACTAACCATGGGTTCTCATCACAAAAGCCGCAGTAATAACAAAGACTCGCATTGACAACGGAAAGGATGCTAAGGAAATTGCCCAGTGAATTCTTCCATTGATTTGCATACACTACATGATATCGTTAGTACTACGCACTCCCTTAACTAGACAGAATTATAATGGAAAGTACAAGACTCAATTGATGAGGTTCAGAATTGAAAAGCAAATGAAAGAGATCAGTCAACTAGGTTACAATATCTCAATTCTGTGCTGATATAGCCAACACAACTTCTGGATTGCTAAACAAGGTACCCGTTTTGCAATTTTAGTTAGAGAAATGAAATCACGAAGAAGCATCAAGAAATGGTTGGTATAGAAAATGTAACTCCGTAAATTTTTAAGCAAATTTTTCATTTTAAAATAGCATAAATCTCATCAACACATATCACAAAATCCCCAAATTGTCAAATTATCAAAAACACATGTTCATAGTTGTTTGAATAAAATCTAGGATCCTAAGAAACATAACTTCATCTCGTGTGTACAATCAAGCCGGCGTCTTCTCGTGATCCTGACAAGTACCTGAAACACATAACAAATAACACGGTAAACACAAAGATTAGTGAGTCCCCAAGCTACCACACACATCTCATTAGCCTTTCATGGCTATATCCCAAATAAGACCCGCCGTTCAATGTATCTCCGTGGAAGCCTCCGGTCCCACAACTCGGGTGGACCCTCTGGTCCTATCTCAACAATGCACAGGATAATATACCGCATAAATCACAGGACAGAATACATGATATCATATGTCTCAGTATAAGCACATAAGATCAACATATACACAAAATACTATAACAACATAAGTCAGAAAGACAGCATACACGATAACACAAATCACATTATAAACAACTAAGACCCTCTGGTCAGTAGTGTAAATAATACCCTCCGGTCAATAACACGAATAAGACCCTCCGATCACATATAATTTACCACACAGGTAAGTATAGTGAGAAGACTCACCTCAACTTGTATGCGAGAAACCCTATGATGTCACTGCTGCAACTCACTAGCTCCTGAACTGAGCCAAAACAACCCAACACTATAATCAGAAGCTCTACCAGGTTATACCTTAACACTATGCTCCATAGATGGCCCATCTAACCAGGCCCACTATTAACCCAACTCATTGAACCCACCAAGGCCCAAGACCAAAAGGGCCCATAAAAGTCCACTAATGGCCCACAATGGCCCAATTTTCCAAATTGGGCCCAACTCCTCATATGGGCCTTACCCTAAAGCCCATCTAGATATTCTAGTCCATATGATTATTATTAGATGGCCCAACAATAGACCAAACATATAGGCCCAACAGAGAAGGCCCAACTCAAAACCCAACACAATTAGGGTTTTTTCATGAAATGATGATTAGGGTTAAGTGTTCTCACTTAACCCATTAAGGACTTAACCGATTAAGTCCATTATCCCACTAAGCCAATATACAATGGAATCGGCATAAGTCATAACTTTAGTCCTCTGGTCAAAACGCGGGTCCCAACAATTCCAAATTAACATATATGAAATTAGGGTTTCCAATACAATCATATCCCAATTAGTCCATTTTTAAGTTTTTAGGTCAATTAACTTTTAGTTAAGTCGGGTACCACCCACTACCACCTCGGGAAGTGGTGGTTAAAGGCGACTCGCGGCGGCGGCCACCACCTCACGGTGGTCGTGACGGATTTCTTAATCATTTCAATCCAAATTACAATATTACAATGAAATATTCAAATGAGCGCACACACACATAACGTAAACACACACACAACCACCCTTATGGTGGCCGGCGGTGGTATATGGTGGCAGCCACCACCTCACGGTGGTGGTGGTGGCCTTTTCTCGGCTTTCCGGCCAAATAAAGCACACACAACACATACACATGCTTTCTTCTTGCAAGGTGAACCTAACCACCCACCTGGCGGCATACGACGGTGATTTGCAATGACAGCCACCACCTCACGGTGGTGGCGGCGGTTCTCTCGATCCTCTGCCCAGCAACACATCACCACATGCGAGAAGAATACACACCGTTACGATATCACACGCACACAACCACCTCTCACGGTTGCTGGTGGCGGCAGAAGAACACTTTAGCGACAACCACCATGGTTGGCTGCCATAGTGGTCCGCCTAGCTTCCCAGTCAACAACACATCCATAAACACACTTCACGAACGCGAGATGACACAAGAAACACACCCAATCACTGACACCTTCATGGTGGCGCATGGCAGTCGGAGGGTAGGCTTCAATCGCAACCACTGCTCGGTATGGCGATGGCGGTGACGACAGAAAAGAACGAAGACGAAGGGGCTTACAGTCTCCAACGAGGAACAATGGCAGCGATGTCAAGGTTCATTCCCTTAGTCTCTTCCACCCCGACGTCCAACACCCATCCCATCGATCCTCCAATCATTGACGGCAACGGATGTGGCGTGGCTTGGTGGTTCGCGACTTCGTCAGTGGCTAGGAGATGGCGGCGACGACCGACTGGAGATGTTATGGGTGGCGGCCGGTGGTGAGGGGATATAAGGTAGCGGCTGTAGTGTCCATTAGGTTTAGGGTTAGGTTTAGACGGATGGCTTTGTTTATATACTCCCGTCCATTACAAACTTTTGCCATAATGACACTTCCGGTCTCTCCTTCTCCTTCTTCTTTCGAACAAAGTACAATATTTACCAAACCGCTCCTATATTTAACAATTCATTACAACACTAGTCCCATAAGTTCCCCATTAACCCTCAACATTTAAAATCCTTTCAATGTAAGTCCCAATAATTACTATGCAACCCCCGCCTTCATAAATATTTACAAAACCAATCTGTAACTTACACTTTTAACCCTTATCTATTTATTTATTTAATAAACGGGATGTTACAACTCTCCCCCACTTAAACTAGATTTCGCCCTCGAAATCATTCCTTACCATCCCTTACACGCCCGATAACTTGAGCGGCATGGCCACAAACCCGAGCATAACCCCAGCCGTTCAATTTAACAGTGCTATCTGATCCAACCACATTGTACATGCAACCAATAAGTTTGCTTTACTCCAAGCAATATTACAACAAATATATAGTCACACCTCACCTCCGACCTCTATCGTCTAACACTCACTAACTCCATGCGTGTTGCGGTCCTTCTCAAGCCAAACAAACCGACCCTCCCAGGTCTAGAACATCAGATGGAAACCTTAACCACTCAAATAGAAATCCATCAGGAATCCGAAATCTCAATTCATCTATCCTTTACACCAATAGGGCCAAACTCAAACTCTAGAGTCTGGTTCAACAGCATAATTGGAACCACTAATCTCCAATCAGATACTGAACTCACGACCCTTGATCTGCAAATCTACGCGTACATTACTTCTCCAAATCCTTCCGATTTGCGACAACCTCTCCACAATTCGAGATATAACGGATCCCGACCATCATGGAGACCCCGGCCTCGACCCTGGCCCGACCACCAGGTTCCTAAAGACTCAGTCGTCAAGGCTACCCAAGCCTAAGAACTCCTCCGTGTCACGCTCTGACAAGTGAATAATACGGCTCCCTGCAGTCTTAAGACACTCCCTCGCTGACTCGTGATTGCTACGAGTCTCCGCAGTCTTACGATACTCTTTCATTAACTCACGAAGGCTACGGCTCCCCGCAGTTTTATATTACTCACTCGCTCGCCATGGGCTCACCCCATGGTTTTTCCTCGATAGTCCCCATATTTCAAAATCACTTAAATTTCCTAAAAATGTTAACAGCGTAACTTTGTACTTGATGTAAAAGTCTCTACTTTTTGTCCCTGTTTTAAAACCCTTCAGCAAGAAACATACAACCATTTGTGGATGCGGATGTTCTCGTTAAATATTGGCTTCCCATGGAGATGTGGTCGACATGTCTTCTTCAGCAACCAAGATGAGGCCCAAAGATTGATAACTAGGTTGAGCTTTCTAATCTTTTTCATGATGTTACTTTATCGCATAGTCCACTATTAAAAAAAATCCTTTAATGACACACATTGTGTGACATAAAAGGGAACAAATGTCACATAAATATGTGTCATAAAGCCTCAATCATAATTAAATATGGTATGCATTTGTATGTCATACATTTACGAAATACATTTTTGCATCGAAAACTTTGACTTTTTTTAAATACATAACAAACGGTCTACAACATACGTTTACAACACACAATTTGTATATCATAGTTTTAGGTGTTTAAGTTTTTTTTTCCTTTTTTTAAGAATTTTTAGTTTTCAAATTAAATGACAATTAATTCCTCACAATACAAAATAAAATATAATATAAAGAAAAAAAGCATTTCACACAATAATGACATATTTCATTTACTAATTAATAAACATTTCAATTAACTAATAAAAAATAGTGTAGATAATATTTGTCAAAAGTAATTAACATTTCCAAATTACAAAAAGTATTTTTTTATCAAAGTATCATTTGAAAATAAAATTGTCCATATAATTGGATTTTTCTTTTCAAATTCCATCAATATCGGCATGTGTGTGTTCGTA